CAGCTGCCTGGGCTCCAGCCACCACCCACCCCACCACCCACCGGCCCGCAGCTGCTCACTGAGCTCTGACCTCCCCCCGGCCCGCCGGTCAGGGCACTCACAGAGCAGGAATTGCCTCTGTCCCTGGGGGCCGGGGAGCCCCTTGGCCAGGCCTGAGCCAGTGGCTGGATCACCCCGGGTTTTGTCTGCAAAGGGCAGGGTCCAGAGGGAGGAACCAGGGGTTCAGGTCAGGGATGGGGGGTGGAGGGGAAAGAGAGAGATGGAGCCACGGTGGGAGCAGGCCGGCGCTCAGGTCCACGTGCAGCAGCACCAGGAGCGGGGAGGGGGCAGGGCCAGGTGGGCCCAGGTGCAGGGAGGAGGCCATGACCACCACCCCCAAGGCCCCAGGAGCTCCCTGCTCCACTGCCAGTCAGGTCGGGCCAAGCAGGTGCGTGGGCTGTGCCCTCCCAGAGCGACAGGTGCACCTGGTAGGTGCTGCCCCTGCCCCACTTCCTGGAGGCCAAGGCGCAGGACACGCACCTCTCCCGGTGGCTCACCTGCTGGAGGCCGGGGGAGCGAGGAGTGTCCGCCATCTTCCCTCCAGCCGCCCCAGTTGGTACCTGGAGGAGCCAGGAGCCAGTGTGTGGGGGGAGGGTCAGGCTGGGTGGGGGGCCCACAGGGGTTGGGGAGTGGGGTGCCTGCCTGGGGCAGAGGCTGGTCCTCAGCTCCCTGACCCGATCACAGCCCACGGGGTCCCCAGAGGGGCCTGGACGACTGCGCGGCCAGTGCCCAGGCTTCTCCCCCAGGCTCCCGCCCCCACAATGCTGGGAACGGGCTTGGCCTCTGCCCGCCGCCCCCCAGGTGCCTGTGGCAGTGGGCGGTCTGGAGCTTCAGGAGAGGTGGGGACGGACAGACCGAGAGGAAACAGGACAGAGTAGGGCTGGGGCGGGCCCGTGTGCTGCCCCACAGCTGCCCTCCCGGAGTCTCAAAGGCACTGGAGCAGGAGGCCCACCCCAGCCGGCCCACAGTGTGCCCTGCGGTCGGAGGACATGGCCCACCTGCCCTGG